AAAAAAAAAAAAAAATGTTTGTACAAAATGCCCTTACACATAATCAATCAGATAATCGCTTTACAAAATAAAATTTTTTGGCTGGTTTTCTCTATTGTTAAAATACGCGTACGCATTACATTACAATTTTTTTTTTTTTTCTCTCTTAAATTAATCTTAAAAAAGAAACCGAATTTGAAAAAAAAAAAAAAATTTTAAGAGTTATGAAATTACAAAACAAGTTAGACTTAATTGGCGCAGCATAAAGTTATGCGGGTTAATAATTGACGTTCCTGAAGAATTACAAATTTAAACAAGTTAATACATTTACATGCTCGTGCTGTATGGCGCACCTAAAGAATGCATGAATAACTAACATATTAGTTATTTGATTTATATTTATTAAGTTCATTCAACAACCAACGATTATAAGTTATAACGCGCAAATATGAAATATCGGATACTACGGATACTATATTATGGATGCGGATACGGATACTATAGATACGGATACTACGGACACTATAGATACGGATACTACGGACACTATGGATACTATGGATACTATAATCGTAAGTGTAATAATTGTATAAGTATATAATTGTATAGGTATTAATTGTATAAGTATAAGTAATTATATAAGTATAAGTATATAATCGTACAAGTATAAGTATACAATCGTCCAAGTATAAGTATATAATCGTCCAAGTATAAGTATATAATCGTATAAATATAACTGTATAAGTATATAATCGTACAAGTATAAGTATATAATTGTCCAAGTACAAGTATATAATCGTATAAGTATAAGTATATAATCGTACAAGTACAAGTATATAATCGTATAAGTATAAGTATATAATCGTATAAGTATAAATATATAATCGTTTAAGTTTATAATCGTATAAGTATAAGTAAACTATATATTCATATAAGTATAAATATATAATCGTTTAAGTATAAATATATAATCGTTTAATTGTTATATACCGAAATCGTTCTAGTTTATAAGTGTATAACGCGTGTAAATTCTTTTAACAACAACAAAAAAAAAATGCAGGAGAATTAAAACGTAATAAAATCTTTTTAATAATAATCCTTTAATCTTTTTCTTCTCTATTCAAAGAAAATAATTAACATTTAAACATAAATTATTTTTTTTAGGCTTGACTTCTTAATTTAGAATATTGTTACGGGGGTACAAGTATAGTATTACATTTCTATAATAAATATGTACAGCTGTTATGCATCTTTCTTTCTTCATGAACAAAAATAATCATCACATAAGTTTAAAGATAATATGATAATATGATGATAATAAGATGAAATAAAGTTGATTAAAAGATGATAATAAGTATTTAAAAAGAAATGTTGACCTTGTTTCTGTTTACAATTTTAAAAATCACACTCTAAAATAATATTAATTAATACTAAATAATGTATAGTCGGAACTCTATCTTTGAGTTTTCACGAGGTTTCTCAAAAAGAATTGCGGCGAAAGCCTTATCTGCATATATAGAGTTTTTTTTTTTTTTTTCAAAAAGAATAAAAAAAAGTAAGAAATTAAAAGTTGAAAATTTGCCCAAAGTAGGTAATTCTTATATATCTGTCTCTTATACACATCTAGATGTGTATAAGAGACAGGTCGGAACTCTATCTTTGAGTTTTCACGAGGTTTCTCAAAAAGAATTGCGGCGAAAGCCTTATCTGCATATATAGAGTTTTTTTTTTTTTTTTCAAAAAGAATAAAAAAAAGTAAGAAATTAAAAGTTGAAAATTTGCCCAAAGTAGGTAATTCTTATATATACATACAGTATTTATTTATTAATATAGACGTATAAGATTCATCTACGTATGACTTGCAGATCATCTCAAAAAAAAAAAAAAAAAATTAAAATAAACAAATTTGTATCGTACGATTCTTTTCTAATTGTAACAAAAATTTATCGTCTTAATAATAATAATTTGATATCGTACAATAAAATTTTTTTTTTTTTTTCTGTACCTGGGAAAATTCTTTTGGAAAGAAAAAGTATTTGTTAATTATTTCATTTCTTATTTTCAACTTAAAATAATCAAACATTTTAAATGTTTCAAATTTTTTAAAGTTATTAAATTAAAGCTAGCCTTGATTATCGGAATGATACAAAATAAGTTAATAGTATATAAAATGAATACGGATATAAAATTTAAAATTTGGATATAAAGTTTATGTAGTTTATGTAGTTTTTTTAAGGTTATTAATATCTTTATTAATAACTTTTTTTTTTTTTTTCCCCACAAAAAAATTAATTATAGCGAACTTAAAATTTATATATATCCATACAATAAGTTTTATAACTCTAAAGAAGAATATTAATAAAATAGATAGATAGATAGATAGATAGATAAATGAATGTACACGTAAAATATTCGATAATCCAATCTTATTTAAGAATTAAGAAATTATTATTTGTAACGCGAAATATTTATTTAATTTATAAAATTATATTTTTTTTATATTTTTAATTGTTCTTCCATATGTATAATTTGTATAATTTCATATAATTTATACAAATCTTTCATTAAATGATATTATTATTATTATTAGGTTTACACCGCATTTTGTATAGTTGAATAACTTTAGGTTTCTTTGGTATGTCAATTAAATATTGAAATTCTACCGCATACGTTATTATTTGAAAATCACTGTGATATCAATAAAGAGGGTTGCGTTTTTTTTTAAAATCACTATAAAGTTTTCGCTCGGGTAACCTACGATATAAACAAATAAATAAATATGTCCTGTCTACTGCTGCGTAAAACTTTCTGAAAAGTGATCCTCAAATTATCTAAATTATAAGGTAACATGAATGATATTAATGTTTCTAATATATATAATACTCTTTTTAGTTAAATAAAATGAAATCTTCATAGTATTGTTCAAAAAAAATGTTATATGAATGCTATTTTTATTATTATAAAATGAAATTTGAAAATCCTTGCATTAATAAAGATATAAATAGTAATGCAATTGAGCACGAACCGCTTATTTTACCTTATTTAAATTTGATTTGCTATTTAAAAAAAAAAAAATTTGGGTTCTTTTTTTTTTTTGCATAATCTTGTGATTAAAAAATTATTTTAAAGGTTAGATCTCCATCAAGTTTTGAAACGTCATCCAAAAACCCCTTGATTCTCTTCATTCGATAATTTTCTTTAAAATATTCATTTATCCTATTTATGCTTCTATTCCTTCAATCAATTTTGATAGTCAATCTATATGGTTTCAATTTTCTGACCTTTTTGCTTATCATTTTCATATATACCTCCTTTCATTTATCCGATTTAGGTCTCATTAAGGTGATTATCAGCGAAAAATTCCCCATTATTTTTTTTTAAACTAACGCCAAAAAGAATTTCTAAAATTGTAACATGTAAAGTTTTTGACACTTTCCCCCTTTTCTAAAATGTGATATGTAAAAGTGACAACTTATATTACTTATATATTAACAATTATAAAATGTAATTCACTAAAATTATAAAAGAATATGATAACATGATAACATGTAAATTGATTGAAATCTCAACGCGTAAATATCAATAACGAAATCAATGATTAGTAAAAGTAAGGTAATTAATAAGGGAATCATATGAAAAAGTTAAAAAATGGGTTATAAATGCATTAGTAATATGCTGTTATACTGTTTGTATATACCATTGTAATTATAAACGCGATTGAATTGTATCATATCCCTTATCCCTTGTATAATCGCATCGCAAGCGAATGAATGATCAAATGTATAATTATCCACCAATTGACTTTTATCACTCTTATCAATCTTATATTCTTATTACTTATTACTCTCATTACTCCTTATTATGATTACCCTTATTACACTCATATATATAAATTTTTCATTGTTTAAATTACGCTTATTACCCTTATTACGATCATATTTGAACTTTATTATACTCATTACAAATCATCTTCACCCTTATTACATTCATTCATTTGACATTTCAAAGTTCAAACCTTATTACGTATTTTACCCTAATTACATTTATTATCCTTATCCCTTGTTACTATTATTATATTCTCTCTCCTCATCCATATTCTTTTTTTTTTTATAAAAAAACATCCTGTTTTCCCGTTACGCAATATTGAAAGCTCCTAAAACAGAGATCTCGTGTACTGACAATCAGAGAATCGTATCGACGCCATCAATTTATTCTGTTAATCTTTTTTTAGTTAATAGACAACTAAAAGTTTTTGTCGATCAATAAAGTAAAAAATTTTTCTTTGTTAACATAAAGTACAGTAATATACATTAATACATTATACATAATTAACTTTATTTCGTTTCTTTTTCTTTCTTTCTTTCTTTCTTTCAATAATCAAAGAAACTTATAAAGATTGAATTAGATACTTTTTCGCGTTACTTTTTATTTGAAACACTTTGATATTGACCTGCATAATTAAAAATGTCAAAATAAGACCGTTCTGACAGCCAAGAAAGATATGCAGCTAAAATGCCGTTAAATTAATTTTACGACTGTGTAACATGACATTCGGTTACACCCTTTTTCCTTCCTTTCTTTTTTTTTTCTTTTTCTTTTTCCTTTTCTTTTCTTTTTTTTTTTGAAAAAGTGATATATTGGTGATATATTAAATAAACTTTAAAAAACCGGCAAAAAAAAAGGACAAAATTAACTTTTTTTATCATCATAATACTCCTATAATTATATGATATTAAACGCGTTTTAACATTTATTCTTCCCACCCCCTTGTATACAATTTTATATAATATTTACTTTTTTGGAAATGAATATAAAATTAAAAACATCCTGGATATACTGGTATTAAGTGAATTAATGGTTTTTATTGGAATTTTAATCTTATTAATTTCATTATTTCCATTTTAATATTAATAAAAAAAAAAATGGCCGATTTGGATTAACTTGCATTAATTTAGGGGTAAAAAATAATAAATAATATAAATATTAATAATAATAATAAATAAAAATAATAAATAATAATAATAATAATAATAACCTTAATTTATTCAGATTAACCTTTTTTTTTATCAAAATAAGATGAATATTAAATTTTATTTTATGAAACGAATGAAAAGACTGAAAAAAGTTTAATATATTGTTATTACATTATCCGAAGATTGATTATTTCTAAGGGGTCAAAGTTTTAAAATGTCACGATTGAATAAAAAGACTGAGAAAAGTTTAATATATTGTGTTATATTATCCGAAGATTGATCATTTCTAGGGGTTTTGAAAAAAAAAAAAGTTTTAATATCACGACTTTAAAGATTTTAGTTTATTATCACTATTCTTTGAAGAAAAATAAATGTACAGTTGATTGAACGACATTCTTAATTGAGATTTTTCCTGTATAGCATGTGAACTTGGCATGTATCATTGGCTTTACTGATAAAAGTCAAAGTAAATCTTTGTCTTTTTTCGCATTTCGGCGAAACATTACTTGTTGTTGTTTCGTTATATTCGTTATCTCTTTCCTTTCGATATAAACAAATATGCAATTCTTTATTGAAAGGCCTATTAGATTTAGTATTTAGGGTTTAAAATAAACCCGTGGAAATTACTTTCTCATAATAATAATATTCGAATCCTCATTCCCCACATTGTTTGGAACTTTTTGATTACATAAAGAAATAATGTATGTACATGCACACATATATGATATTACACTAGACTAGACAGATATTTCACAAATTTTATTAGTTTCAGTATTTTGTTCAATCAACGGCTAACGGCGACGACCTTTTTTGTGATAATAATATTTCATATTGTCAGAAATTTCTTTTTTCGATTATATAATACAAAAATTATTTTACTTCCATTCAAAAAAGATCTCATTAATTTTTAATGAACCTTAAATATCTTGATTTACCCCCGATTATATTTATATATATATATCTTTTTAAATTGAAAATCCCTTTCTTATTACTGCATTTACAATCATAAAGACATATAAAGTAATACATTTATTTACATAATACGAATCATATGCCTCAAAATAAAAAATCAAGTTTTAAAAATAATCTTTTAAGATGAAGATATTGTTTACTTCAAGATTTCTTTATTACAAATGATTATGATCATCAATTTTAGTTTGTAAGCAGTAAAAAAATACCACGTTATAACTTATGCTTATATGCAGGGTTTTTGATTGGTATTTCATTGGCTTTTCATTAAAGTATTCGTAAAGAAAAAAAAAGAAAACATTTCGGCCGTCTCAAAGATAATAATGTTGTACCTCTTCCTTTTTTATTTGTTCCCCTATTTAAACAACGGGTATGATCCAATCAATTTTTCACGTTTTTTTCTTTTTTAAAATCAGCCCATGTATATTTTTTTATCGTTTCACGAAAAAAAAATTTTTATGTATTGTCACGTTACTTTTTTTGAAATTTTTGATTTCTTATTATCCAATTATAGTAATATTATATAGCATTACAGAATTAGGATTGTGTGGCTTTTGTGGGATTTGTGGGATTTATGGCATTAAAATTATAGTTGTGTATCATCCAATTATAGTAATATTATATAGCATTAGAATATAGAATTAGGATTTGTGGGATTTGTGGGCTTGTGGCATTATTGTTGTGTATCCAATTATTGTAGAATTGTGGCATTAAAAATTACCGGTATTATAGAATTATAGTTGTGTATCATCCAATTATAGTAATATTATATAGCATTAGAATATAGAATTAGGATTTGTGGGATTTGTGGGCTTGTGGCATTATTGTTGTGTATCCAATTATTTGTAGGATTGTGGCATTAAAATTATCGGCATTATAGAATTATAGAGTTGTGTATCATCCAAAAAAAGCAATATTATATAGCATTAGAATATAGAATAAGGATTTGTGGGATTTGTAGGCTTGTGACATTATTATAGTAATATTGTATAGCATTAGAATTAGGATTTAGGTTGTGGCATTATATTATAGAATTATAGAGGTGTGTATCCAATTATAGGAATATTATATAGCATTAGAATTTGTAGCATTAGGACTTGTAGCATTATTGTGGCATTAATTCTGGAAAAAACTCCGATAAATGATCATTTTTTCTAGTTTTCAGTCCGAAGAAACTCAGACACGTGATCATTTTTCTGAAAAAATTTTTTATAGGTATTATGGAATTGGGTGTCCTTAACGTACAGTGGGGCCGTGGGGGTGTACGATATTTAACGTACGAACTGGCCCGAGTTTAGGAGTTATGCACTTGCACGTGATAGCGTTAAAGATTTACTGTGAAAAAAAAATTAAATTTTTTTGGCCGGAATTATGTATGAAATTAAGAAATTTATTAAACCGAAAAAAAAATCTTTTAAATTATTCACGTGAATCATAAAAAAAAAAAAACTTTTTTTTTAGTTCGTTTTTACTCGGTAAATTTTTTTTTTAAACGGGGAAAAATTTTACTTTATATAAAATTATAATATTTTTACATTATGATATTTGCTCCTTTTCTTTACTTTCTTGTTCCTTTTACAGTTTACTTCTGTTATTGAATAAAATTTATCCGATAATTTTTATTGATAGTATATTCTTGAGTTCGTCTTTCTGATTTGTACAAAAAAATGAGGAAAAACTTTGATTATTTTAAAAATTAATGAATTTATAAAATTTATTTTATATTCTCATTACAAAATTATGGAAATCAAAAGATTCAAGGAAAAAATTAGGAAAACGCAAATTAAGAAATGTAATTTATGTAATTTATTGCAAGTATTGCGAGAAAACATTATATACAACTTTATTTAAAATATCATATTTTAAAGTATTATTTTAAAATTAATTCATGGTTCTAAATTCGGTACATTATAATAACAGATATATAATTCAAGTTCAACGCTCTTTCCAGAAGGATATGTTAAACCTCAAAGTGGAATTCCAATCACCTAATTATATGACTTTGACGGAAAGGCTAGCAAAGACATAAAAAATTATATAGTTCGACGGATCTTAAAATAATACTGCAGTCGAAGTCGTTACAAATGTCAAATATATACGGTTTTTTATTTAAGTCTATTAACAGGGAGAAGATAAATTACAAAAGAATTAACCAATATAAAAATACTATCACTATTGTTCATTCTACAATTATTAACGAAAGAGTGCTTTTTTTTAACGAAAATAAAAAAAAAACCAAGAAATTATAATTAAATCAAACCCTAAAAATAATATTTACCCTCCGTTTTTTTTTTAAAAAAAAAAACTATTCTACTATACTTTTGACTCTGTGATGCTAAGTTTTTCTAAATCTTTATCATTATTCTCTTTAATGGTTTTATTATCATTTATAACGAGATCGTTATCATTCATAACGAAACCATTTTCATTTTTCAACAATCTCCATAATATTATGGTAGAAATAAAATATAATATAATATTAATCAATCCTAGTAATATTGTTAAAATATATGTATTATAACCTACACGAATCATCCAAGCTGTTGAGGGTATTATTGAAGTATTGTACTTGTAATAATCTGACAAGTGAATCGCTATGTAATAATGTAGTTTTAATAGAGCTTTTTTTATGAAATTATTTTTTTTTTTTAGAGCATTTGATTGGCAAGGAGGACAATAATCAAAATGGTTAGTTCGAAATTAAGAAATGATTATTAGCTAAACTTGCTGAAATTTAAGTCAAAAAAAAAAAAAATTTACGAAAAAGGGGCTTACTGTAAAATATCCATAATATGCCAACGGCGCTATAAAAAAAAAAAAAAAAGATGTGTTAGTTTCCCAATCCTCTATTATATTCCATGAAGAAGTTTGCAATATTCCTACCAAAACCTCACCCTCCCCCCGCTCACTCACTCGTTCAATTGTTCACACAACTAAAAATCTTATAATTTTATGTACCTATTAATTCCAATATCGGATTTTTTAAGTCCATTACTCGCAAAACAATAAAGTCCTATATTAAAATCAAGGATCAAAGATTGAGGATAATGAGGATAACGTGAATAACGCGAAAAATTGGTTAAAAAAAAAAATTCACGTGCAAGTAAAAACATATATAACGTATAACGTAAACTACGCGTATTAAATTACCACTTATAAATACGCCAACTAATAAAATGGTTCCAAAGAAACCCGAAAATATATGAGATTCTCTAAAATAAATAAAAAATTATTTAATATAATTAATCCTACGTTTATTCTGCTTTTCCTCCGATAATAAAATAATTTACGAAAAATGAAACTTACAATGATGATATTTCTTTATACTTTTGTGACGATGATGCATCTATAAGAAGTGTTTCTACGTAAAAATTTTGAGATTAGAAGAGAATGATAAAAGATGATTGATGTTAAAAAATGTTTCTCGTGAGATAAACATACCTAGAATTAGACAAGTCGTCGATATCGTGAATTCGGATGTTTTTACAACATTAAGTATATTAAATAGAATAAAATTATTCATTTTTATTGGGTAAAAAATTATCATGAAATAAAAAAAAAAATTTTTTTTTTTTTAAAGGCCAGAAAGGTAGAAACCATTTTATTTATAAAAAAAAAAAGATTATTTAGACGCGCGCGATACTTTCATTGTAACTATATACATGAAATTTTACTTTTCTTACTTTTCTTAAAAATTTTTTGTCTATGAACAATATAATGTAATAGTATATTCTTTATTTTCTTTATTATTATGTTCTTTTAAAGAGTCGTCTTTCCGGCGTATCATCGCATTATATGATAGGATATATGATAGGAAATATGATAGAAACTATGTTTAGAAAATTCGTTACAAAAATGAAGAATCGATCGTTCTTAAACAAAAAATATGTATCGTCAGCGTATATGATAAAACTATCTTTGGAAATTTCATTGATTTGACCAATCGAATCGTTCAAATTTTTTCATTCTAAATAATATATTAATTACATATTACCCTTTTAATAAATTTGAATTATAATTTTTCATTTAAATTTTGGATTCTATCAAAAATATTTTTGACCCACCCGTTGAATGACATTATTCAAAAAAAAAAAAATTCAATAATAAACCATTACAAAAAAGAATTAAGAAAAAAAAAATGCGCATCAGAATGATTATTAAAATCATACGATGCAAAAGTAACAAAGCTTTTCTCAGAATGAGCACGAGATAATCACACAATTGGTTTAAACCAAAACAAGTTTATTCATGCAAATTTGTATATAATAAGTAAGATTAACAACTTACCTGCCAACTTTCTCCGAAATAATATCGGAATATAAATTTAAAATACCCTTTTATGAGTTAAAATGATTAAAAGTGATTAATCTATTTATAGCGTATCAAAAAAAAAAAAAGAAAAAAAAGAAAGAAAAATTCCATCTATCGGAAGTTGTGAAATCTAAAATTATCGGGAATTTAAGGCGACATTTTCATATTTTGATCCGTTGATTAAGCTTTTATTATCGTAAGTCAGCAGGTTGACGAATAAAAAGGATTTCCGCTAGAACTATTTTCGCGATTTCAAATGATACGTTCGTGTTTATGCTCGGTTTTAAATGTACCTATAATTCCATTTAAGGACACGTGACGTGTATATCAAATTTTGAATTAAACCCATTCAACCGGGATTAACAATAGATAAGATTATAGTTGTTTCACATTTCCGATTTTTTTTAAATTATCATAAAAAATTTAAGGGATACTCATTAATTTTCTTATTTCAATAAATTAATGAATATCCTCTCCGGAAATTGAATAATTTCAATTAAAATTTAGAATGTCATTAATAGTCATTCAATGTTTCCAATGCAAATCAAGTAAGTCAAAAAATAGAATTCCATTTATGGTTAAGTGGCACCTTTTCATTTTAAAATCTGTGGACGTTAGGGTACAAGAGGAGGGGGAGGGAATTTTTTTTTTCCCTAATAATTTTCTTCGTGTAACATATATGACAATGAAAAAACAGGTTTTTCAATTTCTTTGACCGGAATTTCAATCCATTTATTCCGAAAGATAACGAAAACGTGCAGCATAAAATAGAAATTGTTCATGTTTAAAAAAGAAAAAATGATCCGAATTAAAAAAAGGGTTGATAAATATGGATAAACATTCAAAGATAGATTTTTTAATGTCGAAAATGCAAAAAAAAAAAAGAAAAAGCTCAAATATTGCATTCCACGTGATGAGCACATGAAATATGTTTCAAATGTAATCCCGCGTGAATTTAGAATTTTAATTAAAATTCCTGATGTGTTGAGATGTGTGAAAAAAAAATAAGGGGGATATCTTATCTATTATGATAAAAAATATTGTCGATATCGTTATCTGAATTAAAAACTTTTTTCCCTTGTTTAAAAAAAACGAAATCTTTAAAAAGGATAATTAATTATTCAAATAGATTTACTCTTCACGAGTTCCTATTTACGCAAGGAACTGGATTATTTCCCTTTTAAGTTTTATTTTTTTTTTAATTTAATTCCGATACAAACTGCATTCACTTGTGAAAAAAGGATATCCCCAACAAAGACAAAATAACGGACGGACAACGGACAATCGGAAATGGGACAACGGTCGAATATTCCTTTTTGACAGAAAAAAAAAAAAAAAAAAAGGTTACTACGCCACGCATATTCCTTATCAGTTTATTAAAGGTGATACAGGATTTGCCCATTAATGGTTATATCAAATCATATATAGTTATATGTTATCTCCGTAATAAATAAAATAAATGATTTAATGATTCGTAATCTTCTATCACCACTCACGAAAATGTTCTTATCGGTAATATCGGAAATAAAATAATATCTAATAATATTACAAGGGAATTACAAAGGGACTACAAGGTTAATAATTAATTAAAATTGTTAAACATAAAAGGTCTCAATATGGGGATGACAAAAAATATTTTTGTTAAAAAAAGGAAAGAATTTAAACTGGAGAAATACTTGATGTTGGGTTCTGGAATATTTCGGAACAAAAATTTTTTAACATTGATAGGATTTTTCCGTCAGGTTTCCGTTTTAAATGTAATGCAAAGATAATTTGCGGCATAAATTAAAATAATCTAATATTTTATTTATTTTATTTATTTATTTTATTTATTTATTTTTATTTATTTTATTTTATTTTTTTTATTTTTTTTTTTGATCGAATTTCTTAGATTTTCTTGATTGTATCTATAAAATTTCTGAGTAAATATCTAAAATACCTGAGTGAATATCTATAAAATTCCTGAGTAATCTACAAAGTACATTTTTTATTGTGAAACAATTTTAAAATAAAAAAAAAAAAAATTTTTTTTTTTTTTTTTTTAAAACGGTTTTCCAAAAGGTTGCATGAAATAAGTCACAAGATAAACTTTTGAACTTTGTTTGGTTATAATAGACATATTTTTTGGGCTAATCGGGTAATTCATCAAAATCCATATCAGGTATATTGACTTATTGACTTATCCAAACTCACACATTTTTCTTATGAATAAACCTGTCCGAACGGCGAATTTAGGCGATTCTTGACGATTTCTAACTCCTTTTTCTCATAATAAGGGAAACATTTCTGCAAGGGTCAAACCCTTCCAATTTTTTTCTTTTGTTATAAAGAAGGTCCGTGTGTATTCAAAATATGATTTGATGAGAATAAAATTATTTTTTATCAGATTTCCTGCTTTAAAATCTTTAGACTAATACAAAATAATCTATTTGTTTATTTTTTGTAAAAGGGCTTTGTTCCAAACAGCCGGAAAATTCCTGTTTCTTATCATCATCTTTTATTCTTTTTTATAATATGTTATCAAAAAAAAAAATTTAATTACATCGTTACGGATGTAACATTTGTAACATGTAATGATACCGTGCACTTTCCCATAATCAAGTAATCTTACATCTTCTTTATTCCGAATTTGGTCTTTATAAAATGTGGAGTTGAGTAATTTGTACGATTGTTACTGCGCATTTATGTTACAATTTTAAAATTTATTAATGCAACTGTACAAACTGTACAATATGACTATCTTATAAAATAAACATTTTCCGATTGAGATCCAAAAAAACAGTATTGTCCTTTTGTGTGGCTATAAAATACGTTATATAGTAGTTTTATGTACAATACATTACTTTATGCATCGTATGATACATTTGGTCAATTACAAATCCCTAATTTTATTCGTTTTCACCCGTAAAAAAACAATGGTTGAAATATTATGTGCATGATTTTTAGATTCCGACCATTTTTTTTTTTTCCCCGTTCATCATGTTTAAAAGGTATATCTTAACTAAATTATATATGGTTTTATTTATATTATCAGTCATATTATTATTGTATATATATATATAATATTAATTGTATACATATATATACTTAAAATATATGCTTATCGATTTTTTTAATCTATAATAAATTATCTTTTCCGGTTAGATGCGCAGATAATGATATTTTGATGAGAAATTTTCTACTTCCGAAATTTTCCTTTAAGATTTATATTTAAAATTTATTATGTAACTTATTTTAGTTGTTTGTAATTTATTTAGATGGCGCGATTTTCCTTTTTAAATTCCCAATTTGTAACAGATAAAAGTACTCTTTCATAATTTTTTTTTTGATTGATATTTTGGATGTACAATTACTAAAACTGATATGGAAAAAAAACGGGAATTCTTGGTTCTCTTTGTTTGATGACATAAACATATCCAAAAAAAAATTATAAAAGCTTTATTTTTCTCGCCGTCTTATTATCTTTTGTTTCGTTTCCAAATCCAAAAAAAAAAAAGAAATTATTATTAATAATAATTAAAATAAATAAAAAAAAAAAAAATTTTACTTTTAATATATATACTTTAATATATATATATATATATATCATACAAATAACATACATACATATATATATATAATATAATATATATATATATAATTTTTTTTATTTTATTTTATTTTAATAATTTTTAAAGTAGCATAAATTAATTTTACTTTAATAATTAAATATTATAAAATAAAAGAAAGAATTTTTTTTTTTTCCTCGAGAAATTTGTTTGAAAACCTCCTTTTTTTTCAACTACAAATCGTGATAGGTAAGAAAACAATCGATACCATAAATTATTATATTATATTTATATTATTTACACGTCACGTATTTTTATTTTTTTTTAGTAAAAATGGGTCGCGCAAGTAATAACGGAAATCTCATCGGTTCTACAACAACCCAAACACTTCCTCTTACTACAAATTCAACGGTTAGGATAGCAACCACAACAAATTTACCATTAATTCAAGATCAAATTCAACCTTTATCAACTTCAAACATTTTAAAACCTTCAAATCAAATTCCTATTATCTCTAATAATTATCGAAATTATCCTCTTCCTTCTGAAAATTTAACAAATAATAATACTTTAATATCGACAACAAATGTTATTCTTGATTATCTTTTATCTGTATCAATTAATGCTAGAATTGATCAAACTAAGAATGATTTAAAAAAATTTGATGATGGTCAACAACAATCTTTTCATATTAAGAAAGGTCAAGGTGTTGAAGCTATAGTTGAAGGTTTATTACAATCTCATCGAACTCAAGCTTCTTCCGTTTTATTACCTTTACCTCTTAAACATAGATTATATTTATGTCAATTATTACATTTAGTTTTTGATCGATCTCATATTGCATCTCCTTCATCTCATGTCTCTCACAACTTCTTAAATACTTCAAATACCCAAAAATCTAATCAACCTCCAAAATTATCAAATACAACGACAAATATACCTACTACAACCTCGACGTCACCTTTACGTAATAATTCAACTCAAAAATCTCACAAATTACCACCAAATCTTGTTAAATATGAGAAACATTTTAAAAACGCTTTATTATCAAGATGTAGAAAACATCGACAAAGTATATGTATAGCATGTCAACAACATCCAAGTAATTCAAGTATAACCCCTCCAATGACAAGGAGGCGCAGTACCCCCCCTAAACCCATTCCATCACGTCGAACTGCTCCAGGTTTAATTGATGCAATCCCTGTATTTCTTAATACATGTGCAATAACATATCGTTTGGATAATAATAATGGATCAACTGTTAAACCAATATGGTATGATCTATTATTGGACTTGTTAACACAATCCGCGATAGAATGTTATCTTTGTGATTCTTATAGTTCACTTGATGCTTTATTGGAAATATTTTCGTATGGTAATATTGATCCATCAGATTATCATTCGGATGATTCAGAAAGTGATGATGATGATGATCCTCACTTTGCTGCTACCCGTGCTGATGATTATTTACTATGGCAACGTACCGCATATTTAGATGAATTTCGTCAAAAGAAAAAGGACAGAATGGAAGAAGTATGTTAATAATTTTTTAAAAGAAAAAAAAAAAAAAAAAAAAATTTAAAAAATTTAATAAATTTAAAATCAACTAAAAAAAATTTTTTTTTTTTTTTTCTTTACCAATCAATTCAAAGCAAATGTTAAATAAATAATAAACCACACTAATTTTTTGAAAAAAATTATTTAATGCAATATAATTAATATATCCCGATAAGTTATATGTTTATGATGAAGTTCGATAATATTAGGCACACAACTACTCCAAGGTGTCGTCGTAAAGATATTTTGACCGTTTAAAAAAATGATGCAACTAAGTAATTAATTTCGCGGAAATTCGCGCCGTAATTTCAACACTTATCGATTCAACATTTGTGTCATTTTGAGAGATAATCAGGCATTTTTCTTTTGTAAATATTTTGATCATGATTAAGTACAACATTTTCCTAATTTATGTATCAAATTAGAATAAATATTTAAACCTTAAGTTATAAATAAACTGTAAATAATTATCTAAAATAAGTCATTATCGTAAAAATCACGATAATTTTTGATTTTAACTGAGGAACATTAGATTTATTGATCCGTAAAATTACATCGGTTTTTTTATGTATAATTATAATTACATGAATTTTGATGATATTTGCTTTGTACAATTAAAATATTAGAATTTATACTCCCGTTACCGTTTAATATACTTAATATATAATTAGTAATTTAAAATGTTTAAAATATATAAGTCTGATTATAATTGAAAATGCTGAAAGAAAAAGGTTTTATATTTGCAAAAAAATGAAAAATAGTAAAAATTTCTGTAAAAATAAAATAAGCAAAGTACGCTGCTGTAAAAATCCAAGTCATAAAGAATGTATCAAAGTTCTCAAGGTGTAAAAGAAAAAATTAGAAATTATCAATAATAATGTAACAGCAAAGCATGAAATTAAGTTTGTTACTAAACCTTCCATAAATCTATATTGAAATTATTTGTTCCTTAAGGAGCACCTAAATTTGAAGGTATATTTATTTGGTAACCTGGCATTCCAGCAACCATACAAGTAATGTCATCAGACCAATAACTCTATCATCTTGTATTTTGGTTCCCTTGCTAGTTATTGATGGAGTGGTGTTATTACAAGGTTTGGAATTGTGTTTAGTTCTGTTATTATATTTGGTGATGGGTTTGATGTATTTAGTACTGGATTTAGAATCTAGTTTTTGCATTATGATCATTGCAATAGTACTATTTAACTAATGTAAAAATATCTTAATTGATAAATAAACTTAAATTAAATTAGTTTGTATCAACTGTCAAATCAGAAAAGTATTCTTCTGTTAAATCATCTAATAAACTATTAATAGACTCAGTTTTTTCACTTTAACAATCATTTTTGGATGCAATATACTATACTACATCCAAATGGTTTGGATTGGCTAAACAATAATTTTAGTTTAACTAAAAATGAATGGATAAAAATCAAATTATTTTGTGATTTTTTAAAACCCTTTTATGAGTTTACAGTGAAAATACCTGGGTCTGAATATCTTACTCTTGAAATATTATTGCTTTTTTTAGATTATTTGCAAGATCATTTAAATATACTAACTATATAGAATAATGAATCTCATATTAGGAATAATTTGTGTTTTATAATGAAGATCTAATACCAAAGCCAAATAAGTAGCTAAATTAAAATTATATAATATGGAATCAAATTTTTCCCTTATTGCTTTAGTAATATCTTTTATCCATGTTGGTACTATATAGATATAAAAATGGCAAAAAGTGCTCTTTTAGCTGAATTTAATAGCTATCAAATTCTTGTAAAAAGTGAAAAAAATAATGAAGAAAATAAATATCAAGTATACTAGGGGAAAAAAAATCACAAGAAATTATGGAATATATTCTATAAAAAAAAAAGAAATCCAATAGTTTGTCATTTCATAATGAAGTTAAAGAATATTTGGCAGTTTCTATAGAATCTCAAAATGTAAATCCCTATGAATGGTAAAAAGATTATAAAATGCAATATCCAATTTTAGTCAAAATAGCTTATGATTATATTTGTATACCTGCAACATTAGTTTTCAGTAAACAAACTTTTTTAAAATTTGGCGAATTAATTAGTAAAAGAAAAAATAGATTAAGTAATTATGCAATAGAAGCTTGTATAAATTTAAATTCTTAAATAGCATTATTAAATTGTAATAAGAAATATAATGTATTTAGTTTTATTTTTAGTGATTATATAAATATTAACAAAATTCTTAGAAAATATTTTAAATTATAAGTATTAATTTGTAATTTGTCTAAAAAGTAGAGAATTTAGTTAATAAAATTCAGGAAAAATATAAAATTATAAAACAGATCTTTACATAAATTTTCTTTACCAAAAGTTAGTTTAACATCACTTTCTATATTAGTATAAAATAAATTTTACTTTTTTGAACTTTGTATAATATCATTTAATGCTATATACACATAAGTTAAAAGTCATATACTGTAGTTATACAAAAATTGTGATTGTTATACAAAAATCTGTGAGTATTGTACAAAAACTTTATCACATATAAATCTTTTTTTATTTCTTTAGAAAAGGCATCAAACTTTAAGTAAATATAATCAACTACTAATATATTTATATATATTTATTAGCTTTAAATTTGAAATTATATTTAAGAAATATATACTTAATTATAAAGAAAAAAATAATAAAATTGCCCTGATTTTTAATAGTTAAATTCTTTACTTTTTATATAGATCACAAATTAAATATTAATATATTTAATAAAAAAAATAATTAATAAAATTTGTTATTAGTTCTATTCCTATAAAAAATTTTTATCTAAATATTTCCATTATTTTTCTATATCTTCCATAAAAATTTTGTAAAAATGATATATTCACAAATATCTGTATTAGTGAGATGAAAATTTCCATGATTTAAAGCTATAAATTCCATTAAAATGATACATTTATGAAAAAAACATGGAAAGATAAAATATGGATCAGATTTTTTATAGGGTATTAATCTTCATCATCAATTCCATTAACTTGAAATTATTAAGTTAAACCAAACTGCAACTTAAAAACCTTAAAGTTAAACTAAACTGTAATTTAATTTTTTAAATCAGATTGAATTGTAACTTGGAATTTTTAAATCAAATTGGATTACAACTTAAAATTTTTAAAGTTGAATCCAATTACAACTTAAAAACTTATAAATTGGACCAGATTAATTTCTATCAGTTTAGTTCAATCTGGTTTGGTTTAGCTTGAACTTAACAACACTAATTATACTAATATTACAAATTTATTCATAAAATTTGTATACTAAATTATTTTTTTTTNAAAAAAAAAAAAACTTTTGACGAATAATTTTTTTTAAAATCAACTAAACAATTAAGGCTAACAGATCGTCTTTACCAATCAATTCAAAGCAAATGTTAAATAAATAATAAACCACACTAATTTTTTGAAAAAAATTATTTAATGCAATATAATTAATATATCCCGATAAGTTATATGTTTATGATGAAGTTCGATAATATTAGGCACACAACTACTCCAAGGTGTCGTCGTAAAGATATTTTGACCGTTTAAAAAAATGATGCAACTAAGTAATTAATTTCGCGGAAATTCGCGCCGTAATTTCAACACTTATCGATTCAACATTTGTGTCATTTTGAGAGATAATCAGGCATTTTTCTTTTGTAAATATTTTGATCATGATTAAGTACAACATTTTCCTAATTTATGTATCAAATTAGAATAAATATTTAAACCTTAAGTTATAAATAAACTGTAAATAATTATCTAAAATAAGTCATTATCGTAAAAATCACGATAATTTTTGATTTTAACTGAGGAACATTAGATTTATTGATCCGTAAAATTACATCGGTTTTTTTATGTATAATTATAATTACATGAATTTTGATGATATTTGCTTTGTACAATTAAAATATTAGAATTTATACTCCCGTTACCGTTTAATATACTTAATATATAATTAGTAATTTAAAATGTTTAAAATATATAAGTCTGATTATAATTGAAAATGCTGAAAGAAAAAGGTTTTATATTTGCAAAAAAATGAAAAATAGTAAAAATTTCTGTAAAAATAAAATAAGCAAAGTACGCTGCTGTAAAAATCCAAGTCATAAAGAATGTATCAAAGTTCTCAAGGTGTAAAAGAAAAAATTAGAAATTATCAATAATAATGTAACAGCAAAGCATGAAATTAAGTTTGTTACTAAACCTTCCATAAATCTATATTGAAATTATTTGTTCCTTAAGGAGCACCTAAATTTGAAGGTATATTTATTTGGTAACCTGGCATTCCAGCAACCATACAAGTAATGTCATCAGACCAATAACTCTATCATCTTGTATTTTGGTTCCCTTGCTAGTTATTGATGGAGTGGTGTTATTACAAGGTTTGGAATTGTGTTTAGTTCTGTTATTATATTTGGTGATGGGTTTGATGTATTTAGTACTGGATTTAGAATCTAGTTTTTGCATTATGATCATTGCAATAGTACTATTTAACTAATGTAAAAATATCTTAATTGATAAATAAACTTAAATTAAATTAGTTTGTATCAACTGTCAAATCAGAAAAGTATTCTTCTGTTAAATCATCTAATAAACTATTAATAGACTCAGTTTTTTCACTTTAACAATCATTTTTGGATGCAATATACTATACTACATCCAAATGGTTTGGATTGGCTAAACAATAATTTTAGTTTAACTAAAAATGAATGGATAAAAATCAAATTATTTTGTGATTTTTTAAAACCCTTTTATGAGTTTACAGTGAAAATACCTGGGTCTGAATATCTTACTCTTGAAATATTATTGCTTTTTTTAGATTATTTGCAAGATCATTTAAATATACTAACTATATAGAATAATGAATCTCATATTAGGAATAATTTGTGTTTTATAATGAAGATCTAATACCAAAGCCAAATAAGTAGCTAAATTAAAATTATATAATATGGAATCAAATTTTTCCCTTATT